ATGCAACGGGTCGGAGTTTTAGCGAGTTTTCATAATTTTCAATGTCGTTTTTAGATTACTTCTTGTTTTTTTCAACCCTCTAAAAAATAAGGTTGCGAAAGTTTGCGAAACATGGGGTTTGGTATGCTGTTTGTTGTCGAGATATCCCGACTTATTCCGTGTTTCTCTTCGATCGCCAGAAGTGGCAATGTGTTTTTTTTTCCCCATTGAATGTCGCTCATTTATCAGTGTTTTTGTCTTGGCGCCATTGTTTTTTTAGGCTATAACCGAAACAACTCGATCACGTGATCTCCCGAAGTCGCCCGATTGACTCCGAAAATGACCGATAGTCGGAGATAAACGTTCATTTGCGTAAATCGGCTTATTTTTTAATGCGACGAAATAAACAGTCAAAATAAACATTTGACATCGCGGCAACTATCATAGTTCAAAGGAAACGAAGTGGTTGTTCTTCCTGGGGTTTATAATTCCATGCTGTACCTGATGGTAAGTAATTACGGTGATATTGTGCGACTTCATACGTCAGTGCTAGTTGTCAATAGTAAAGGACTGTGCAAAACATTCAAGTCGGTGATGATAAAACTGTACATTGTAATTGTTTAATACACACAGTCTTCGTAGCAAGTAACACAGCGTAGCCCTAATGACACATTATCAGGTATAGGGACGAATAAATAATAAATGCGTCATTCAATGGGATTTTGTTTTTGTACAATTTCCGTGTCTAGCGCCCGGGATTCAAATCAATTCGTATGATCCTGACCCATGACATATGTACGGTCATAAATAAACTAAAACACGTGAACGTACGAACGTCAACGCCGGATGGTCGAGGATGTTACAGATCGTGCAAAAACTCACTAAATTCGTGATTTAAATTGTACTTCTAGTTGGTCTGATACGTCCGATATTAATAGACGCCACCAGCATGACATTTTCATCTCCATTCATTGCCTTACCGTTTTTTTCGCCTTCACTGTCGGTCCCAAACAAATCCTGCAGCTCCGCCATTTTAGGTCAACTGACGATTCCATTATTCAGAGGGATGGGGAATTTACGTTGCAACCCTATACCACAATATTACAGTTATTGTTAACGTTGTTTAATTATTGATTAGTATTCTTGTATTTTTATTTCACCGTAGAAATTAGTCGACGCTCATTAGATGTTAGAATATCATTGGAATTCAGAGTTATCCTACTCTCGCGCAAATGTTATGATCAAGCAACTCGCGCGAGACTTATTACCGTCGAGACCAAATCCGAGAAGATGCATGCGGAAGCTGATGCCAAGAAAGGTTCCATTATGGGGCTCCTTTCTTTAGATTTTCTAAATGACGTTCGGCGGATGAACAAACGCCAGGTGAGTTTTACCAACTTGTCCACAATCTGTGATTTTTGTACGGTCCATGGAGCCCAACAAAGCAATTTAAAACAAGTCACCGTTTCTGACCGGGTCCTTACAAAGCTGACGTGTTGTCTACATATGCGATCCATACGTGTTGGTCAACGACGTCTACCGGTTTACTAAAGAGTTCGTTATTGATATTATCCCCACAATTCACTGCATAATATTACTTCACTTTGTCTGATTTTGTCACTTTTGACGAATATTTTTGTGAAAATATTAATACATAGTTACTGTTATCCATATGGAGTTGAAATTATTCGATCTCATCACGTCACGTGGCTTTAATACAAAACATTACCGTTTCTAAGTAAATGATAAGTTTTGACTCAATCGAACGTTACAATACTGTTTCTAGTCTGACAAAGTGTGGCATTTACGCTGTTATCACAGTTGTTTTGACTGGTCAAATGATTATCAGTTTTGTAAAAGCTACGCATACTTAATATTACATTATTGTCAATACAAGTGAATGTAGAAATATGGCGTGTGTTTGATAATAAAATCGACATCCAATGAAAGGGTCTATGGTCTGTTTTCAATATTGAAATCGAACAATTCGTCAGGGTCATTGTTGTCTGCTCTATATGCCAAAGTGTGTTTGAGATGGTGCACACTTCTAGACTATGATAAACTAAGGATAATCCAAGGGTTGGAAAATACTGAAATTGTCACGTGTTAAAACCATGTCAAAAAGTGAAAATGATATGCATATGATGATAATACTAATTGCTATATTGAAATTATATCAATTTGCTGTTTCTCTTAAATTCACCACTGAGGGCATGATTTTGGCTCATGCTGAGCGGTGAAGCAGCAAATCTTGCATATGCCGAGAATTGGTTCAAAGCATCTATCGAAACAGAGATCAAGTTTCTTTTTCAGCACATATCGACTCGCCACTTATGTCAGGGTTGCTGATATGATAAATCTGATACTATTTTCATGTATATATTTTATTGCATAGCTATATTATCAAGTGCTTAACTTTGGTATGATAGTTTCCTCTGCTTTGATGATATGGAAAGGACTCATGGTTGTAACAGGAAGTGAAAGCCCTATAGTGGTGGTACTCAGGTATGTATCCCAGAATGCATCACAGTCAATTTTTACTCCCAAAATGATGAGCAAAAATGCATATCCCATCATGCATCATGGTGACCACATACACTGTATCCCATCATGCATCACAGTGACATAGACACTGTATCCCATCATGCATCACAGCGACCAGATACACTGTATCCCATCATGCATCATAGTGACTATGGACACTATCCCATCATGCATCAGTGACCATAGACACTGTATCCCATCATGTATCACAACGACCATAGACACTGTATCCCATCATGCATCATAGTGACCATAGACACTGTATCCCATCATGCATCACAAGCGACCATAGACACTATCCCATCATGCATCATAGTGACCATATACACTGTATCCCATCATGCATCATAAGTGACCATAGACACTGTGTCCCATCAT